AACACAAAATCTCTGAAAGCTGATTAAATGAAGAACTCAGCTATTAAGATGTAACAAACACAAAATCTCTGAAATCTGATGAAATGAAGAACCCAGCTATTAAGATGTAACAAACACAAAATCTCTAAAATCTGATGAAATGAAGAACCCAACTATTAAGATGTAACAAACACAAAATCTTTGAAACCTGATTAAATGAAGAACCCAACTATTAAGATGTAACAAACACAAAATCTTTGAAACCTGATTAAATGAAGAACCCAACTATTAAGATGTAACAAACACAAAATCTCTGAAATCTGATGAAATGAAGAACCCAGCTACTAAAATGTAACGAACAGAAAATCACTGAAATCTGATGAAATGAAGAACTCAGCTATTAAGATGTAACAAACACAAAATCTCTGAAATCTGGTGAAATGAAGAACCCAGCTATTAAGATATAACAAACACAAAATCTTTGAAACCTGATAACATTAGGAACCTAAATGTTCAGAAACACAAACAAGTCTGTCTATGGTATTTTGTTTGTTAAAGTTTCTTAAAGAAGTTGAGATAAAGAACCCAATCCCTCAGAACTAGACCAAAAAAAGCTAACATTCAGTGATTTCTAGACTTTGTTTCAAAAATCAGTTTCTTTATCTAACGTTAGTTTGCAACAAAGTTCAAGTCGTACGAGATAACATGATTAACTGACAACGTAGAAAGGTAAGGAAATTTAAGATGCAATATATTTATTGTGATTAAAGGGATGGAAGAATAGATAAGCTTCCTAAACTCAATAAAGACAAACAGAGGAATAAAACGGGTTATCCATAATACTGGAAGAGTCAGCTGAAGGAATACCGGAATTAAAATATTAGTGGAAATGTAGAATCTAGATTAAAGAACTCCATCTTGGGAATCCCACGAAACAACTTACGAGAAATAAATACCATAGTGTAGAACTATTACAAATTAAGACATTAAACTTGATATACTGTTAGAATGAAGCTTCAATATTTATTTGTTGTGACGTCACAAATGTCTGTAAATGTTGTAACGATATTTACATGACAATAGAGTATAAGTATAGTCACTGGTAAATATATATAAAAAAGTTGCAATAACTGCGAAATACTAAATTTCTGTTGTGACGTCACGAACTCTACTCATTTAAAGGGGAGTGAGTGCCACAGCATACTTTATCGAACAATAGAATCTACATACATCAAGCGTTAGTTTATAAGGAGATGTTCGTTGAATACCCTTTTAGGGTTATACAAATATTAATCATTGAAAAACGTCTCCATTATAACACAAATAAAGGCAGAAAACTAATACGCTTACCTTTAAAAGGTTAAACAATAACAAATAACCTTGCAGTTACGTCAGTGTACTTAAGTCCGATCCTTTCAAAGTAGGATTTCGATCGAAAAAAATTGACCTGAGTTATGTTACCTCATGTGATTTACACACAAATTTAGTTGATAGTTTTTTTAGAACGTCTTTATCTGAGTAAATATAACTACCACTGAGTTGCTCAGCTCGGCTTATTACCAGGATTTTCTTTTTAAGCAAGTAAAGCCCATCATTCGCCGTAAATAGAAGATTTGAACTAAATATTAGGAAATTTTAAAAGTGGTCGCGTTACTTTACTAAACTCTATAAAACTGAAACTTACCTACTTATTCAGTTTAATGGATAATATGTAAAGTGACTCTACAAAGATACTAAAAGGTTATATTAGGTTACTCTGATGAAATATAATAGGTTTCAAATAATTCTCTCTTAGTTATATTTTTTAGAACATTATCATTAGTTTTAGAAGTGTTGCCAGCAAATATAACATTATATTTTTGTCACTACAGTTTACAGACATATATGATATAATCTTAACCCATACATTTAGTGTTTATATTTCACTAGTAGTATAAGATATGTATTTTATTAGATAACTTTGTTATCGAGAGAAATGAGTACATTATATTAAAACGATGTTGAATACTCAAACTTGCAAGTGACAACAATAACCGATATACAGTGGAATGACATATATCAGAACTACATTTTAACATTTTTTGCCGCGATGCGACGCCACCGAAAATTGACTGCTTTTGAAAAGGGCATGTAACAGCCCTTTCTGATCCAAAATATTCATACACTCTCACCCATAAAGATGATTTCACATCTATATGTAGAATTTCTAGCATAGGCTAGCTCCGGTACTTAATAGCATTGGGAAACAAAAGAATATGGATCAATTTGGTGCACCAGAACTGTCCAGAAAGAAACCTATAACATGTTGCACTCCAGTCATGGTAAGCATAGAAAAAATTAATATGGATCAATCTGGTGCACCAGAACCGTCCAGAAAGAGACCTGTAACATGTTGCACTCCAGTCATGGTAAGCATAGAAAAAATTAATATGGATCAATCTGGTGCACCAGAACCGTCCAGAAAGAGACCTGTAACAGATTGCACTCCAGTGCGACATCTCTAACAACTGAGAATTCACGACCCCAAAGGTTAGAGGCAACAACCGTCCACGTGCCTCAAGCAACAGTACACAACGTAATCAAGAAGGATCTCCGTATGGAAAAGCGGTACAAATAGCAACTGTACTTTGAAAATGTATAAAGACTGATGTAAATTCATTTTATTCTGCTTTAGATACTGA